ATTTTAAGGCAATTACCTTACAGCACCTTCCGTGCAAAGCATTTCCACTTCAAACAGTTCCTTGATGTGAACAGTCTTTAACCTTTGGTAGATGATTGAGGGGATGAGTTAGAAGGGAGGGTGAACTAGCAGAGGGCACAATGGCAGCGGCATATGATAATATTTGGTCGTCCAATTTAAAGAAAGGACTGCTGTAGTTCTTTAAAGTTACCAAATTTACAGACTCCATTATTTGCGTTAACTTAAGTGAAAGCAAGTGCAGAAGGGCTGGGAGATTGGTAGTCTGGAGCAGTTGCACAGAACAGTGTGAAGGTCAAATCCCAGGTGTATACCACAGGCCTACACAATGCTGCGAGGCATTTGTACTTTTCTTCCCCTAAAGCGATCATTATCATGGAGGTTTGTAAAGTACTCCTAGGATGGCTTTAAGAAGACGCGGTGAAAGCATTTGGCTTACAAAAGTTGAGCTACATTAAACTCACTGTCTCCCCCTTACAACGTCTGACCCCTATGTCTGTGTCCATGCCCCTGTAATTGACCGACTCGTCTGAGACGAAGTCATTAGCATTAGTTAAAACAGCGACCTGTCTCCAAGACTTGCCTTCATCTCCTCACCACTAATTGGGTGGGTTTTGCTGACACCTTTGATTGCAGCGCTTTGAACTCAGAGACGAAAGAGATGGATGTGGTAAAGACATAGATGCAAAACAAATACACTTCTTTCCTTAATGTGGAAGTACCTTTTCTTCCTCTTCTTTCCTTCTTTCACTCATTCTCTGTGTATCAGAAAATTCTCAATTCGACGAAACTTTAAAAACTTGAGTAAATTTTGTGATGGCATTTTTACCTGATTTTGGGCTCATTTTGAACTCAAATATCTCCAATGCCAAAGTAGCATTTTGGGCTGGAACACATAATCTGACTAGCAAAATTGTGACCTACATGAGCACCTTCACAGCTTACCCCTTTCATTTGACTCCGTTTGGTATACGATTTTTCTCCTACTTGTTTCTTATACCCTTCTTTCTCTCTATTCCGTAGTTTGGCTGATAAGAATGTTTGACTAGTGGTAACTTGATCAGTTGGTTTTTAAAAAGGAGTAAAGATGTACTGATGGTGATTTTTGCAGTCCTCTCCAAGGCTTTCACACTGAGATAATTATTTCCGGAATGCAAAGGACACACAGAGGATCTGTGTGTACTCATGTTCCCTTTCCCTCTCCCTCAAAAGGTCTAAAGAGAAGTGTGCAGAAGAACAAAAGAAGTGAAGCACTTTGCAACTCTCATTTGCTTCCTGAATACCCTGGCCTTTGTATTAGAGCACTCATTCAATCGGCTGTCTCTCGGGCTTACTTAGGAAGGCTACAATTTGGCCAATCTGCACATACGTGGTAGTAGTAGCTGAGAGGAATATTTCCTTCCTCTACTTTTTTAATGAAAAAGCTTTCATGTGCAGTGGGCTCTCACTATTCATATCTCCTGCAAATTAACTGATTGTGACCTATTTTGTCTGCTCGATGAAAATTGTTGTCAACATTCGGTCAACCTTCAAATAGCACAATTTCAAGTCTCTTTTGTTTGAATTCTACGCAGTGATCAGAATTGCTTCTGTCCACCTTGCAACAATAGCACCAGTGTCTGGTGGAGAAAAGGCCAAATTTG